CAAGGGCCACAACATCCAGGGTGCCTGATTCGGGGCCCAGGCGAAACAATGGAGCCAGGGACTCCTCTGAGGGTTCCCACAATGGTGGTAGGTGTGGGGAGCAACTCGGACTAGACTCAGTTACTGGGAATTTAAGAACTCATTCTATGCATCTGTTCTCCCACAATATGGCCGCTGAGAAAGGGAAACAGCCTCCCTCCCTTTCTTCCTTCCTTCCTCCCTTCCTTCCTTCCTTCCTTGATTGGAGGAGAGCAGCATACTTCCCTCTTCCCTTCCTCCCTCCCTCCCTCCCTCCCTTCCTTCTTCCTCCCTCCCTTCCTTCTTCCTCCCTTCCTCCCTTCCTCCCTTCCTTCTTCCTTCTTTCCTCCTTCCTTCCTTCCTTTTTCAGTGCAAACAGTGAGCAACAACTCTGTTTCATAATGGAGGCGACAGCACATTCCACTATCGGATTTTGCAGAAGAGTTACTAGAAGTGAGTAGCAAAGGAAAAGATGAAAACGGGTGGAGGGAAAAGCAAAGCAGGAAGAATAAGAAGAGGGGGGAAGGAAGAGGGACAGGGAAAGGGTGGAGGTGAGAAAAAAGGAGAGCAGGGAGCAGGAAAGAAGAACAGATGACGTCAGGGGGAAGGGAAGGCAGCAAAAGGGAGGAAGAGAGGGGAGGAGGAAGAGAGAGGAGAAGCAAAATGGTCTCTTGGGTGCTTTTGTGGGCTCTTTAGCCATTTCTGTATACTTGGAGCCGGCAGGGCTATCTCTGTCCGACTCTCATCATGGGGAGCCCATAAATAAATACCTCTGGGTAGGAGCAGATATCTGTAAACACAGCTGAGGAATTGAAAGTCAGGTTCTTCAAGGGTATCGACTTGTCAAAATCACACCACAGCTGCGGATTAAAAAAAAAAAAAAAGAACAACAACAACAAAAAAAACAAAAACACACAGGAACAACAAAGTCAGTGTGAGTGCTGGCAACGGAGCAGTGTGCTATCAGCTGCTGGGCCTCAGCACAGCTGGGGTGGACTGGGCCCTGGAGGGGGTTGGTTTCAGAATGGCAGGACCAGCGTTGCTCTCTTTTATTTAGAAAATGAGTATTGGCTCAGAAAAAGCTTTTGCAAGCTGGTTGAAGCTAGTTGCTCAGTTGGCCCCATCACACAGGGTCACTGGCGTGTGCATGTGGGGCTTGGAAGAGAGAGGAAGATGGTGGGAGAAGTCCAGGGTGAGTTCATGGCCTGTCTCCAGATAAAGAGCAGGGCGCATTTGGGGATCGTAAGGGACACTTTTTCCAGGAAGACTCTTAATGTGGTGGGCGATGGGCATTTTCAAGGACAGAAGTAGCTGTTGGAGATTTTGTGGCACTTGGAAAAGAGCAACTACTGCTGGCCCAGTGCCTTCTCTGTGCCAGACACTTTGTACAAAGCCTCACAGCCACCTTGTGATGGAGCTGCTGTGTTAATCCCCATTTTACAACTGAAAAATACGGAACTCCGAGAAGTAAAGTAACTTGTCAGGGTCACTGAGCTGGTGACTGGTGGAGCTGAGATTTGAAGGCAGGTCTATCTGACTCCAAAGCCTTTGCTCTTCCTAACACACGCCTGTGGCAAGGGTGGCCCCAGTGGTTGCCCTGTCCTAGAGCCAGCCGGCTTATTTCCAAATCCCGTACCCTGGAAATATCTGACGCATCATTGAGGCAGCCTGTGATCAAGATCCTAGGTACTTTCATTTCAATTGTGATAAACTACAGGGTTCTCCGAGCTTCACTCAATGGTGATTTTCCTAACTAGCCCGTCTCCCTGGGCCAAGTTTAAGACGTGGAATCAGAGAAGTCACCTCTTACATCCAGCTGCCTGAGTCATGGACACACAGACTGCTTGTGTATGTACGGACAAGACCTATAGCTACCCTGGCACCATTCCAGAGAGAAAGTGAAATCGTTACAACGAGGGTCACCAAATTAACAACAGTGACGTGTCACAGCGGTCGGGATTTCATCTATGTGTCACATCAGCTATGCACTGTGAGAAAGCCAGAGTTGAGATACTCAATCTTCCCCAAATGCCATTTCCTCATCCAATAAACAGGGATGATAATACCTACCTGTGGCACATAGCAGGTGCTCATTAAGTGGCAGCTCTATTATGTCCACGTCGCCCACCCCACTCCCACTCCAAGAGATCACTTAGTATATGAGAATGCGTGTGGGTCATGGAGTCAGACAGACCTCACTAGCAAGTTATTTCATGTCTCTGAGCCTCAGTTTCTTCAGCCATAAAGTGGGGATAATGAGACTTACCTCACGGGGTTTCTGTGAGGATTAAATACGAAAAATACACAAAGCTTCTCCTTCAGTGCATGGCACATAGTAGGTAGGTACTGGGAATAAGTGAATAGTGATGCTTATAAAATTATAATGGATTGGCCCAAGAGTAGGGAAACTGAAGGGCTTTTGGAGTTCCTTTGGAGTAGATAACTCCTGCACTGGGAAAAAGACAATTTTCCAACAGACAGTAGCCACATCTTTGTTCTCTGTCACTCTGTTTGGGGCTGGACAGGATCATAAGGGTAGCTGTTACTAAGGAAGGGAAATGCAATAAGCTATAGGCTCCATAAACTTTTGATCCCACTGTACACTAGACACAGAGGGTTGGAGGACTTGAGATGCTTACGATATTTAGGACGGCTCCCAGGAAATTAATCAAGATGGAGGCAAAGATGATGACGTTCCGGGCCAAGTAGTTCTCGTTAATCCAACAGCAAGTTTTCCTCAGGACCAGGGGCAAACACTTATAATCCTCTGCTGTGGTGATCAGGACCAGAGCTGAGTGCAGCATAATCAGAATGGAGAACTGGATGGTCATTGGCATCACTCTGTGGGGAAACACAGAACACTGGGTCACAGGGGACCAAGCATCTGATCTCCACCTGTGGTGCAAAACTGTGGTTATGCCCATGATCTCTCTTCCCCACCCCTGCACCCATTACTTCTTCCAAAGTTCTATTTGTTCAAGATAAGCACTGTGTGCAAGAGATTTTTTTTTTATTACATCCATCAGGAGAATACTGTCTCTGTTGAGAAACTTTACAATAAGCATTAAATATTTGGCTTGATTTATAGCTGCTGTCTATGTCTCCCTCTTCTTTTATCATTCACTTTTCTCACTAGGCAACTGCTACTAAGGCAACACATCACTGGAATTTTATTTCAATATCATGGCTATGGGAGGAACATATATGTGCTTTCCCGTTCAAGACGAGTACCCTTATGCCAAGAACTAGACTTGGCACTGGTTCCATGTTGCCTGGTTTGGTTAGTGATGGCATGGAATATCCTGTATGCCAGTTGTGACGTGGGTGAGGAGAATCCATCCCTATCCAAGCATCACTCCAAAGCTTGTGCTTCAACTTTCAAGGTCTCTTTAAAGCCCTATCACATGGTAATCTGTCTGCTGCGCGCCTCTGCTGAGCGTCAGAATATTCCTAGCAACTCAGGGACCTACAGCTCCTTCTCTTTGGGAATTCATTTCTTGTTCTCTATCGAATGTCCAGTCATTCATGTCCTACACTGACATCTCCAATATTTTTCACCTAGTTTCAGCCAGCAGTCTGGTACAGGTAATAAAGTATACCTTGATAGATATGCTGGGAATTATTTTTAAAGATTTATGTATTTATTTGAAAGGCAGAATTACACAGAGGCAGAAGCAGAGAGAGAGAGAGATACAGAAGTCTTTCATCTACTGGTTCACTGCCCAGATGGCTACAAAGGCTGGAGCTGCACCATCTGAAACCAGGAGTCAGGAGCTTCTTCTGGGCCTCCTATGAGGGTGCAGGGGCTCAAGGACTTGGGACTGCTTCCCCAGGGCATAGCAGACAGCTGGATCGGAAGTGGAGCAGCAGGGACTTGAACCGGTGCCCATATGGGATGCCAGCACTGCTGGTGGTGGCTTTACCACTTTATGTGCTACACCACAGAGCCGGCCCCAGGAGATTTTATATCTGCTATTTATTTCATGAATTGAAGGTCATTCATCTGGCTTTCATCTCTCCTACTGCCTGATGTTTAGTGAATTAAATTGGACCTATGTCTTCTCTCATTATCTCTTAATATTGTCCTGTCTGAACTTGCTAATTTATTAGAATAAAACTAGTATAACTAATGTATTGATGTCTGACCATGTGCTATAGGATCTATGTTGAGCACTTCCTATATTCTCATTTCTAGTTCTAAGAACACACCTAGGTTGTGTTTTGATCGCTCTCTCTTTCTCATTCCCTCTGTGTTTTAGATGAAGACGTAAGGCTCAGAAGGAAGGCATTACTTCCCAGGGGCCATTCATTCGGTAAGTGTTACAGTTAGGATTTAAAGTCTACTCTGCTCTGCCATCCTGCCATTCTAATCACCTTGGTGACTAACAGTATCTGGTGAGTTTCCCACGCATGCAGTCATCTGTTTTCCTTCTGTGGTTTTGCCATAATAACTGTTCATTCACAGGTTTTCCCCCCAGGCACAGTGGTGGCATCAGGGGTACTGGGATAAAGGATGCATCGTCCTTCTAGGAGATCATGGTCCAGAGTGGGATGGAGGTGTGCTACTGATGAGCTACCATATAATGTGCTGTGATCTATGGAGAATTACAGAAAACAGGGAAGGGAGGTAAGGGAGTTTCACAAAAGAGGTGATATTTGGGTTAAAGATTGGGGTTTAAAAATAAAGAGAAGGTTCAAAGTGGGGAACATGAACAAAACATCAGAGGAATGAGAATGACCAGTGTTTTTAGGGGTTTCCAATAATCCAGGTGCTGAGGCTGTGGGACAGGAGGGGATAAGGCATAATACATGCTGTGCTATGGAACTATGGCCCTATAGGTGATGTGCACATGTTTCAGATGTCTAATGAGAGAATGACCTGATCAGATACTTGTATTTGAAAGACAACTATTGTAGGAGGTGGAGGATGCACTGAAGAGGAAACATGCTTAGAAGATTAAATTAACAGTGGCATGGGTTAACCAGGATGAGCCTGGGGCAACAGCACTGATATTGGGAAAGGCAGGAAAAAGTGTGGGGAAATTTCCAGCTGTGTGCACAGGGGTATTGAAGAGACGGAAGTCAGGAGTGTCAGTAATGTTTTTACCATCGTACCTGGTCAGTATAGGGAGAGCAGCTAGTTTGCACAGGGGCCGGTGGATTTGATTCAGGGGAATGTAAATGTTTGGCCCTTGTGGATCACCCACTGGGATATTTGTGAGTGAACAGCTTGGGTGAACAGGGGTGGCTGGAGATTCTGTGAGTGGAAGGACTTGTCCAAGGAGGGAATGGACAGTAAAAAGACAGAGGATGCAGGATGGGACTGAGGGAGGAGACAATGGACTGGAAGAGAAGGCAGCAAAGGGAATTTGGGAAATGTGTTTAGGGCAGCCAGGGATAAGGAATTTACAAGGTGTGGGTAGCCAAGAGTGTCCATTCCTTCTTCCTGGTCAAGCAACTTGAAGGCTGGGATATGATTGCTTCCACAGCCCCAGGTATTGTTGTTGGAGGGTTTTGTTCTTTTTCATTTGCACAGTTTTGATTTTGTGGATCACCTTGACAAGAAATCTCTGTGGGAGTTGTAGATACAAACAGAAGGTTTGTGCAGCAGTATGTCCCCAGAGGGATTCAGGCAGATGGGAAGCCTCCCCCAAAGCAGACTGCAATAGCACTGCCTGACAATGCTCCATTATTCCTGGGTACCCAGGGGAGGCAAAGCAAGGAGAAGGCAGGCAATCGCTTTGTCAGGCAGCCCCACGAGAGGAGGGGCAACTTCCAAGGCTGATGTGTCTCAATAACGTGAGGCAGCCATGGAGAATGGAGAATAAGGATGTCTTGTTTCAGGTGTGAGGCAGAAGCAAACCCGAGGAAGGCAAGTCTGAAAGCTGCTTGGCAGGGCCTCTGAAGTCTACATGGTGACCACTATCAGCTAAAGTCTATGGTGTCAGCATGGTATCCTGGGGCTTTCAGAATGTTTATGGAAAAGTGCATATTATGGGAAAACTTGTTTGGATTTCAAATTCTTTTGTACCCAAATAATCTTTCAATTGAAAATTTCCATGAACTTTCTGAAGTTCCCTTGTGCAAGGACCTTAGAAAACTGATTTTGGTTCTCACTCCTACCTTTTCTCTCTCTCTCTGTCTCAGTACTCCAGGCCCAGGCCATATTGAAATAAATGCAGCCTGTCCCAAAGGCAATGCAATGTGTCTGCACTTAACTTGGGCATATTTATCCTGCAGGTCTCAGATTTCTTTTGGACACTTCTGTGACACCTGGCACAGTGCTAGTATACAGAAGGTGCTCAATGAATGCCATTGACATACTTTGTGAGGGTAGAGAAGGCTCTGTTCCTCTCCTCACCGGCCTTTACAGGGAAGAGGACCGCTGCCTGCACTCCCAGGTTTGCTCTCTCCCCGCTTACTCTGTTCTCCAGGCAGGCGCAAGTACTAATCCAGACCTGTCTAGGGTGCTCAGAGGAATAGGATCACTGTCAAAGGTTAGTGTTCATGCACAGTTAAGACACCTATCCTCTCCTCCTCTTAGCTCCATGGGGCTGATGCAGAAGCCAGAGCCTTGATCTGCCCTAAGGGGGAGGCTGAGTATGTCTTCCTTTAGGCAAGGAGGCCCAGATCGGCTTAGCCTTGGCCCTGGGCATAGATGCACACCTTCTCAGGCGCACCTCACTCAGTTCTGGCACTGATGGCCGTGTCTTTGTTTGATCTTGGTCAGCACCACAGTGTGAAGATCTCACATGAGTTTCAAGGCAGGGTCTAAGGGTAGGTGCATTTTCAAGGGGTTCCTCATGGAGCAGGTGAATCACACTCTAAATTCTAGCTTTTACTGCAGTGTTGCCTGGGCTATTAGGCACCTGCTCAGAAGTTTATAAAATTGACACTATGTTGCTCATTTAGCTGTTGGGCTTTTGTATACTCTTTGGGGAATAGGAAGGGTCAGCAGAGAATGCTGTAGGGCCGTGTGAGAAAATTCTTTCACGGAATCCACTTGAATCATGACCCAGTATTAAATGACTTCCTAGCTTTGCTGCAGAAGGGAGAGGAAAGATAGGCAGGTATGGTTCAGTTCTAAGAGCAGAGCTATGTGTACTTGAACCTGAAGTTGTAAATCAGAACTGTAGCATGGCTTGGGTAAGGTAAGGAACTTTCTGAGCATAGTTTTTAAATATGTGAAATCAAGATTTTTAAGCTTGCCTTTGAAAGGAGGCTCAGCAGCTAAATCTAGTAATAAAGCCATTTAGTAAGAACTCAAAATATTGGTCCTTTTCCTGTGTTCATAGTGAAATTTGGGAAAAACGAGGAACTTTAAGGTTCTATGGGAAAAGTATTAATTACAAGACAGGCATTTGAAGCAAGATACTGGCACTGAGTACCTTGGTTAGCAAAGTAAAATGCCTCTGGAAAACTCTGCAGCAGCTCCTCCGTCTTCGTTTATTTCTGCACACATAAACATTATAACGTCGTGTTGTAAATTTCATCTAATTATAGAGCTACTCAGGCATCCAGGGGTTCTGAATTTGCATTTGCATTGTTGGTGCACATTAAAGGCAAGAAAACCTTTCATTTCTGAAACTGAGTCTCAAAAAGAATGACAAGGAATTGGCAAACAGCTCTACCAAATCCTTTCTAGACATTAAGTGCTAATCACTCCCTGCAGTCTGTCTTCAGAGCAGGGTTTGGGTTGATATCATGCTTTGACGTTTGCTGGGGAGGCAGGGAGCAGTGAGCAACTGCATATGGTAGTTTGCGGTGCACTAGGACACAGAATCTCAGATCACACCGAAAGATGACATTTGAGAGACACTTTAGAATGCGCAGAGAGCTTCTGAGCCTTGTTGCAACTCTTAGAGATACACATTCACAGACCTTTGAACAGGTGAAAATTCTATGGCCTAGAAAGGGAAAAGGGACCAAAATTTGCTAAAAATGAACATGGCTAATTTACTTCTTCCTGCAATACTGCAAAAATGGGCATTATTGTTTCCATTTTACAGATAAGGAAACTGAGGCCTCAGAGAGATTACATGCTTACATATAGCTGGTAAGATTAACAGAAAATAATAAGACCCAGTGCCTCTTTCATTCTTCTCTTCCTTCTGACCTTCCCTTGCTCACTACCCACCTCCCTTTCTCCTCTTTCATCATTTCTGTCTGTCTGCCTCTCTGGTACATTGAAGATACATTATTATGTAATCAAAAAAATCTTTTAAAGTGTTTTTCCAGAGTTTGCTCTCCTCAGAGCAAAGTCTATGTGCATGTGGAAAAGAAAGAATGGCACTGGGTATTGTCTTTCTTTGTAGGGTTCACTAACTTTGCTTTGGGGGCTGGGGATTAGCTGTGGTCCTATGAGTAGAGATGGCCTCATCTGCTAAAAAACCCATGCCAGAAGAAATGTGAAGGAGAGGCACCCACCATCTGCCTCGGTGCAAACATCAATCAGAAAGAAAATGAGTTGGCGAGGAAACCATCACATATTAAAGCGAGTTTTTGACGTGTCTGGGGCAAATGAGCCTCCCAATTCCCACAACAGGTGGACTGGCTGGTCCAAGCTCAGCTTTGAAATTTCCTTCATTGTCAGGTTTTCCCCTTCACTAAGTAGGTGAGGTTGGGCCCTGGCTGTATTTCAATTCCAGGCTGCAGCTTGAACCCAGGAAATCAGGAAACTCTGCTGGCTGGCTGCTGGGTAAAATTCTGGGCCTCTCTCTCTGTGAATCCAGGAATCAGGATGCCAGGGCTGGATTCCCTCCCTGCTCATGCCATATGGGAAGGTGGCATGCCCCCAGTCCTCCTCTGTCCTCTTCTGCCTCCTAGAGAGCTCCTTCAGGAGGCATTTGCACAGCCACTGTCACCTCCTCTGGGAAGCCCACCTTGATCTCTTTTCCTCACTCCCACCCATATATCCTATCCCATCTTATCATTTCCCTATCGTGATTGTGAATGCCCTGTCACAGCTGCTCATCTGATTGCCTTTTATCCCTATTGTCTTGTAAGCTTCATGATTGCAAGGCCCTGACTGTGTCTCAACTGGCACAGATGGCACATAGTAGGTGTTCAGAGATGTTTGTTGAGAAAGTTAATACCACAATCCTCTTGGCTCCCACTTCCCCACAGAGAGAAGTGAAGAGGGGGTCCAGAAAGCTTGTGTGACTATGACAAGACTCCACCAACATTCACAGGTCTGTTCCAAGATCCCCTTTCCCAGATTCTCACAGGCTCCTGGATAGTCAGAGAACCCATTCTCTCCTGGTGCTCCCTAGTACCCTTCTGTATTTCATATGCATATATGCATGTAGCGTCCCAGAAGAATTTTTTGTCCCCTTTTTGTTCAGAGATATGTTCTGGTACATAATAAACTTTCAATGGCTATTGTTGGAAGACTTTCCTAGCACACTTTTGGCAGAAGTACATAGGCCTTCTCTCTCTCTCTCTCTCTCTCTAAGACTTAAAAAACTTTAAAGCCTATCAGAGAGGCAGACACTCAAATACATACATATACACGTGGAGGGGGAGAGAGTGAACACACACACACATACACACACAGACAAAGAGGGAGAGGGAGAGGGAGAGAGGGAGAGGGGGAGAGAGGGGGGAGAGAGAGAGAGAGAGCGAGAGATTGCGTTGGATCCAGGAACTAGGAATGCAATTGAGGTCTCCCACATGGTTAAGAGGAAACCAATTACTTGAGCCATTTCCATTGCCTCTCAGGATTTGCATTGGTGGGAAGCTGGAATAAGGAGTCAGAGCCAGGAGCTGAACCCAGGGACTCCAATGTGGGATGCTAGGACACAAGTGTTTTAGCTGCCAGGTTAAATGCCTACTCCCAAGAACTTCTTCAAATTGTAAAATGAGGCATCAAGAAAACCACACAAAAACACAGCTTAACTAGTTATGAAGTGTTTGCCTGTGTAACAACTCCTGGCTCCTGAAATAGACCCTGCAGAGCACACCCAAGGCCCATCAGTGTGCCCTGTCCCAATCCCAATCCTTTCTACCAACTCCAATTAATCACTTTCCGTTTCTGGATAGTTTTATCATCCATTCTTGAATGTTATAGTTTATTCTTACTCATTTTTAAAAATCAAATTTAAATTCCCTTTTAAATCTTGAACAAAACTAAGTTCTCTCTCCCTTTATTTTCCTTGCAACTTATTTATTGAAGAATATGTGCTTTTGCTGCTGTCTGGATTTCACTGGGGCCACTCATTCAATACCCTCTGTGCTCTGTAATTCCTGCCAAACGGAATCTGGATTCAAAAGCCTGATCAGACTTGGGCTTAATCCCTCTCCTGTTCTTCCATCATGAGCTATGGTTGTCTCTCCATTTTGTGCTGAAGTTCCTTTGATGTTCAATTCCCAGATCCATTAATTCTTGGTGAGGGGGATTTGGCATATGGTGACATTTTAGCTATGAAATTTATTTAAAAATTATTGACCTGGATACTTTCATGATTTTTCTTTTTAAGGTACAGTTCATATGGGAAACAGAAAAAAAAAATACTTGCTTCATCTGTTCACTAATCTGCAAGATAATGTAATCAGTTTCCTATCATTCACCCCAAATTTTCAACTTTAAAAACTATCACTATAAACTCACAACATTTGCTGGGTTTTTGTTGAATGTTTGAATAATTATCTACAGTGAAGTTCAATCAAAGTTCAGTCAAAGTCAAAGTTCATCTCTGGACAGTGACGAATGTTCATCTTTGGACAGATCTTTAATATGGCTTCTGAATCCTTTTCATGGTTCCTTGCATTTTTGTAGGACACGCTTTCCACTTTGCCAGTGATGTTTCCTAAATGAGATTTGTCTTCCATTCTTATTCCTTCATTCTACTCAACTCAAAATGATGGCTTTTCTGCAAATAGTTCCTTGCACAATCCAGTTGGAATGAATTACTGATTGTGATACAAGGCAGTTACGTTGTCAAAAGCGAAGACTTTGGCCCTGGGTCCAAATTCCAGCTGACATGTTTTATAGAGGTGTGACCTGGGATAAATCTTCATCCATCAAATGGGTATTAGAAATGCTGCCTCTCATAATGCTTATCTTTGAGGCTTTACTGAGAAAATCCATGCAAAAGATTTAGCATTTTCCTGGCATATAGTAAATCCTTGGTAATTGCGAGCCATTTTTAATGTCTCCGTCTCCTTCTAAATTATATCTCACAGGCTAGAGATTTCCTTTTGCAAAATTACATCATGCTCAGGGGCTAGCATGTAATAGATATTTGTCTGTGATAAATACTTTTGTCTATAATGCATATTTTAAAAATTAATTATTTTTAACCACATGAGAGAAAACTCATGATAAATTTGGGAAGAAAAAATTTAACCCAGAAAGCAATCAGGAACTAGCTTGCAAGACAGGAAACAGGAAAAGGGAGGGTTATTGGACTAATCCAGATTTAGGCTCAATTTCTGGGTTTGACACCTAAAACTTGTGTGATATAAGCATGTGTCTAACAAGCATGAGGAACTGAGGCTTTAGGGTTAGGTTTGCTGGGCGTGAGGCTAGGCTGCAATATGATTCAACTGAGAATCTGGGCAACTGCATTCACCAGTCTGAGCTCCAGTTCTCTCCTCTTTAATGTGGCTATAACCATTGTGCCTAGGGTTGCCATGAGGATTCATGTGTAATTGTATGTAAAATATCTGGAACAGTACACATACAGACGTTTGTACTATTATTGAAGTGCCAGTTTTGCTGACCCAAGAAGCAATGATATTGTATCTGTGAATCACTCACATTAACAAATGAACAAATAAATGGCTGTAACAGTTTCCTTGTTCATGAGTGCTATGTCCAGTGAGAGTGGAGCCTATTCTGATTTTTGTGGCATTTTTATTTTGACTGGGGAAAGACTCTTGCCTTGGCAGAATAATAAGACTATTATTCAGGGTAGGATGATCAGAATAGACACTGCAGTTGTCAAACATTTTGATGTGAACTGTGTATCTTGACATTTTATTATTTTTATTTATTTATTTATTTATTTTTTTTGACAGGCAGAGTGGACAGTGAGAGAGAGAGACAGAGAGAAAGGTCTTCCTTTGCCGTTGGTTCACCCTCCAATGGCCGCCGCGGCCAGCGCGCTGCGGCCAGCGCACCGCGCCTATCCGATGGCAGGAGCCAGGTGCCTATCCTGGTCTCCCATGGGGTGCAGGGCCCAAGTACTTGGGCCATCCTCCACTGCACTCCCTGGCCACAGCAGAGAGCTGGCCTGGAAGAGGGCAACCGGGACAGAATCCGGTGCCCCGACCGGGACTAGAACCCGGTGTGCCGGCACCGCAAGGTGGAGGGTCAGCCTAGTGAGCCGCGGCGCTGGCTTGTCTTGTCATTTTAAATACTGGTCCCTTGAAAAGGTCAAGTGGCTGACTCCAGGTGCACAACACCATCTCTAAGACATTGACCAGATAACTTAGTCCTTTTATACTTACCTTGAAGAAGGAAGCAAACTTTGTATTGTCGTGATAAATAGAAGAACAATAAATGCACAGACTAAGTTTGACTTGAATACTTCATCCCTCATTTGAGAATACTGTAATTAAAAAGAGAGAGAGAGAGCAAATGAATTACTTTGCAACAGAGTTGAGTTTTTGGAAGAGTTAAGTTTGAGGAGAGTTTGGGGTTGGGGGAAACAGTAAGAAGGAACAAAGCAGTTAAATCTTAAAACAGATAAACAAACAAGAATCCGTATCTTATAATCTTAATGGAACATTATCTTTCAGTGTGATACAATCTCATTCAAAATGAAGGTGGTATGGGAGGGGAACTTTGCATGAGCTTATCCAGTTTTTTGCCTCACTTTGAACTAATATCATTTTAACAGAACAGTAGAAAACACAACCACAGTGACTTTCTTCACACGTAAATGTAAGTCAAGCTCGGGATTTTGCTTTCTTTCTCGATTTGTTTAGGGATATGGGGAACTATTTGCCCAGGAGTCTTTCTGCCTCTATTTTTGTTAAACTATTGAAAATGAGTTCACAGAATCTTAGAATAGAAAGTAGCCTAAGAGATTTAAAAAATGTAGCCCTTTCATTTCATAGAGAAACCAAGACTGAGAGACCAATGTGTTTGACGCCCTTTGGTTGTCTGATAGAGGTGGCCCTGAGGAATAATAATAACGTTATTTCCATTACTCAGAGTACTTAGTAATTCCATTGCTGAGCTTAAAACCTTCTGGAAGGTCAGAACTGAATGTGGACTTCCCTTTTCCTGCCTTGTCTCCTGAACCATCTTGGAATTTTTAAGCTGAAGATTAATCTTTCAGAAGGAAGGAAGGATTGATTTTTTAAAAGAGTAAAAGATCTTAAAATTAACTAAATGAAACCTCTCATGTTACCTCACATATATCACATCATTGAAAATATACACAAAGTAGTACATTCAAAGGAAGAGACATGCCTGAATTCCTTCTAACAACCAATTGCACAAGATATAATTATTTTTTGCTGGCTGACTGATAATTTCAAACTGGCTTCATAATATGGATTTGTTGATGGTATTTTTTCAAACAACAGCAACAACCAATAACAGTTATCTTGGGTGTACTTCATGCTTCCCCTTTTTATTGTCAGCATCTTCATCTTTACTTTCTGTCACTGTCACTAGCCCTCACAGCCTCTTAGACTTGTAGGGGACCATCACCTTCCCACTTCAGAGATCCTCTCCGTAACATCCCTGTTGTCTACTCACATGGATGTTGATAATCCTCAGCTGATCTTCTCTGCTTTGTCTGGGGAAGTGGGTTTCTTTGTAAGCTGGGCCATAGCATGTTAAATATTCCTAGGTACTCCCAGTGCCTGAGCCAGAGACTTACTCCTTTGTGAAGAGTCCCTTTCCATCGCTGGCCGGTCCTCACTATGAAAAGAGTCTTTCCTATAGATACTAAACCTGAGGCTCTGTGAACCCTTTCCTGAATATTTCTTGGTGATGGCTTGAAAAAAGTCACAGAATCCTTATTTGCCCAGATTAAAGGTGCATATGGTTTCATGTTTTCCTTTTTCTTCAGATGGTAAGCTGTGTGAAGAGAAAGAAGGCTTGCTTTTCCTCCAAACCTGCAAGTCTTTTCCTGTGAACAAAGCCAATTTTTTGAACCTCACTTCTGTTTTTTTTTTTTCCTGTCAAATGGGGACATTAATACAAGTCACAGCTATTGCAATAATAAAACATTTGATTATTTTCATGTATGAAATCCAGCGTCTAGCATAGCGACACTACAGAAGAGCCCTATAGTTGTGAAGTTGCTGTCAATCAAATATAAAATATAGGGTTTCAGAATGGAGTCCTTTATTATTTTGAAAATGTAAGGAAAACAGGACTATGAAAAGAACATTCCTCATTAGCTCGGATTGATAGGGTACTGGGATTGAGTGGTGATTCATTTAACTTCCTCTTGACTTGTGAAAGTCTGAAAATTCTGATTCATAGTGATATTAGATTAGTTGTTTGCTCCTGCCTGCCAAAGTTAGACCCCCCTTGTTTTGCATCTGTTCTGTCCTCACCTGACATGGACTATTCTATAGCTAGACTACCTGTATTTGAATGCAAATCCAGCACTTACCAGCTATGCAATCCTGAACAGATTCACTAAGTTTTCTATTTTTGTTTCCTTATCTTGAAAATGGGTACAATAATATGAACTATTCATACTGTTTTTGGACTGAGTAGAACAACAAGCTGCTTAAGAGTAGTCTGATATTACAGTAAAAATAAAATCACAAAACATATCAGCAAAGTATCTGACATAGAAAAATGCAAAAAATAGCCATGACCATGTAGTTTAAGTTTTATGGTCTCACTTTATGCATCTAAATAAGAAATGGAATGGTTCAATAAGGTCTAAATGTCCTGAAGATAAAAATCTGTATTTATTCTCAATGTCTTATTCCAGAGTCTAGCATCCTAATCCATCAGAAATTTTATCCTTGTACCTGGCCTTCTTTTCTTTGCCACTTGCCTTCTTGATCATCTTAATGCAATCATTGTAAATCTAATAGGAGTTGGTGGGAAGAGAAATAAAACATTTGGAAGTTTATGGTGCATTTTTCTTCAAATCTTTAAGCCTCCCTTTAACTCTGATTTTCTTGAAAGGGGACAGAGAAAACTGAGAAATTCTAACTTAGATAAGAGCCCGTTGTACTCCATTGGCTGAAGGATTATGTAGATTCCCATGTGTGGCAATTCCTTGTTTTTATGTGGCTGCTGGTGGGGAAAACAAAGTCATGTTAAATAAAAACTTTGGAAATATTCAGCACAGAACTTGGTTCATGGCAAGTATTGTTTGTGATAGTTGTTATCACACAAAAAAATGGGCAAAATCTAGTAGCTGATTTCCATGTAAAAACTGAAGCTTATCTTTACTTTGGTCTATTGTTGGGCCAAACTGGTTTTGCTGCTGCTTGAAAACATTCATTCACACAACTGACTCTAGAATGCTTGAACTGATTTGACTTTGCGTGGAAGTCACAGCTTACACATCTTGTGAGTTCAAGGAATCATAATTCTCTTCCTTCTATCCTAAGAGAAATGGTGATTCATGTGTCCACTCATTCACTTAACTGACTTTCACAGGGGCATGGTTAGCCATGGTGATTTGCACTTGTTTTAGTCTATTTTTATCAAAATTTTGGATTCTTCAAGGACAATGCTTTAGATTGCTTGGGTATATTGTATAGACATATGTGTATGTTTTTGTGTGTGCAGAGTGAAAAGGGGATAAAAGAAATGTTCATGATTTCAGTTTTGCCATTTTTTTTTGCCTCTAAGGTATTTGCCTCATGCATTGCTTCATAACCCCTCCAACACATGCTACTTGCTACATTATCAACCCATTCCCAAAGGTATGGGAAACAGTCCTATGAAGATGTGGTAGGATCTTTCATTGTGATAGTACAGTCTGGACTAGGTGACACAGTGAATTTGATTTGAATGCTAATTCTGTTGCCTTCTACAGGTGTGAGTATTGGAAAACTGCTCACATTCTCTGCGTCTTCTTCACTTGCCAAATAGTAAAGTGAATACCTTCAGGTCAGGATGTTGCAATAATTAAATCAAATATATATATATATATATATATATAATATTCATGATAAGTTGGCAAGTGATCGACAAATACTAATTTACTTGTGACATCCCTGCATTAGCCTCTGAGGCACTTAATAAGGACACTTCAAAAAAAGTGCATGGAAAATTCAGTTAAAAGATAAGTTTATGGCTGGCACCGCGGCTCAATAAGCTAATCCTCTGCCTGCGGCGCCAGCACATAGAGTTCTAGTCCTGGTTGGGGTGCCGGATTCTGTCCCGGTTGCTCCTCTTCCAGGCCAGCTCTCTGCTATGGCCCGGGAGTGCAGAGGAGGATGGCCCAGATCCTTGGGCCCTGCACCCCATGGGAGACCAGGAGAAGCACCTGGCTCCTGCCTTCGGATCAGCACGGTGTGCCGGCCGCAGCACCAGCTGCAGCGGCCATTGGAGGGTGAACCAACGGCAAAGGAAGACCTTTCTCTCTGTCTCTCTCTCACTGTCCACTCTGCCTATCAAAAAAGAAAAAAAGGTAAGTTTATATTGCTGTAATTTTTTTTAAATACACAGATATGAGGGGTCTTCAAACAGTTCATGGAAGTTGAGTATAATGAAATACCTATTCATGGATTCCAGCTTTTTGTATCAAAACAAAATTGCCTGTTAAAAGTTTACTTATTTGGGGCTGGCGCTGTGGCTTAGTGGGTTAAGACTCTGCCTGTGGTGTTGGCATCCCATATTAGCTCAGTTCATGTTCCAGCTGCTCCTCTTCTGATCCAGCTCTCTGCTATGGCCTGAGAAAGCAGAAGATGTCCCAAGTGCTTAGGCCCCCGTACCTGTGTGGGAGACCCAGAAGAAGCTCCTGGCTCCTGGCTTTGGATCTGCCCAGCTTTAGCAGTTGCAGCCATTTGCGGAGTGAACCAGCAGATATAAGATCTCTCTTTCTGTCTGTCCCTCTCTCTGTCTGTAACTCTTTCTTAAGTTTCTTAAATAAATAAATAAAATCTTTAAAAAATTTGTTTATTTGAGAGAGAGTGAGAGCGAGAGTTAGAGAAAGAGAGAGAGAGAGAAAGAGAGAGAGAATGCTATTATCTCCTGTTTCATTTCTCAAATGCTTGTCTGAACCTGGCCAAAGCTGGGAGCCAGGAACAATACAGATCTTTTTCATAGGTGACAAGGACTCAACCATTCAAGTTATTGCCATTGATTCCCAGAGTTGCAATAACAGATAGTTATAAGCAGGAACTGAAGCCAGATATCAAACCCAGCTACTCTAATATGGGATGTGGGCAAGCTAACCAGCATCTTTTTTTTTTTTTTTAGATTTTTATTTACTTATTTGAGAGGTAGAGTTTCAGACAGTGAGAAGGAGAGACAGAGAGAAAGGTCTTCCATCCATTGGTTCACTTCCCCAGATGGCTGCAATGGCCAGAGCTGCGCTGATCTGAAGCTAGGAGCCAGGAGCCTCCTCTGGGTCTCTCACGTGGGTGCAGGGGCTCAAGCATGTGGGCCATC